GGGGGGGGATTTCCCCCAATTTTCGCCCGTCGCCAGGATCGGTCCTGTTCACGGTTCGGAAAAACAAGCCGGTTCGTTCCGGTTTTTGTTCCGGTTCGGGTTCGGTTCAAACCCTTCTTTATAATAATACATGTATATAAAAATTCGTCAAAAATTAGAAAAAAAATCAGCAATCCTTTTTAATTTTTTTTTCAATACGTCAGCCAATTCTCGTTATCATCATCTTTGCAGGAATCATTCGTTCGCCCATAATGAAAACTGAAACGATTATATGAGCTTTATTTTTGTATAAATAAGCGACTTTTTACCAAAAATAAATAAACTTACACCAATAACGTACTAGGATACACATATACTTAACAAGTTTTCTGGTTATAAGCGACATATTTATGAGCACCTTTTTTATAAACACACTTGATAAAAATTGTGTACTGTGAGTACATTTTCTGTGCAAAAAGAGACTAAAACAAAGAGCGAACGAACAGGACCAAAACTAAAATCAAGAACGAATATCCAAGACCAAGACTAAATACTTAATCTTTAAATGGCAAAGTTCGGTACATTAACGCTTCGCCAAGTTTGGTCCAGTATTTGACAGTCAAATATTAGTTTTACAATACTGGACCAATCTTCGGTTAATCTTCGAATCCAAAGTTCGGTATATCAACGCATAAACTAAGAGCGAACGAACAAGACTAAGACTAAAACCAAAAGAACGAATATGCAAGACCAAAACCAAATACGCAAGATTAAACGAAAAATTATTGCTTCCAGTGTATTTGTGAGTTAAACTGTTTGAAGCTACTTTATATATATATTCTTTTCTTGAAACAAATAATTTTTTGAAATTTTCAGTTTGCTTTACTNTTACACCGTTTTAATATAGAGAAAAATTTTTTTTTTCTATATTTTTTGCTTCTTCTGTGTACTTTGTACCTACTATTTTGTTACCTAAAAGGAAAAGAGTTGGAGGAAAGGTTGATTTATGCATATCATATCATAACTATCGACACTATTTTCTTTAAAAGTCATGACACGCAAGACCGAGACTATATCAGTAAGGCCAAGACCAATACCGAATAAGCAATACAAAGACCAATACCAAGTCTGGGACAGTATCGAGCTCACTTTCCTCATCACTATTACCGTTCAGCATTTAGACGCTGATATTAGCTGAAAATCAGATATTTAATTTGAAAAAAAATTAACTTTTCGGAGACGAAGTTCTCTGATGAGAACAAAAAAAAAAAAAAGATCGGTTGATAAGTTTCCTGTTAATTCTCGAACGTTGCTAAGTGAATTTCCTCGCGGAGAAAGAGAACGACCGGGCTAGAGAGTAAAAAGGAAGAACGTCGTTCTTCGGAGTTAAATAACTGGGAAATAGTAGTAGGACGAAGACAATTGCATTAGGCATTATTCGAGTTATTTCTATTTGTTATTGCCGCTACAGCAACTGGTAACTGTGTTAGGGCCCTTGCTGATTAGATTCCGTCTTTGCCCGCTCTGGTTAACGTTTACTAGTCTCGACTTCTAATTCCGCCAATTTCGCTACGTACTACCACTGCTCTCCGTCTCTAATTCCGAATGTGTTGATTGTCCATGCGACCCAGTCGTCTCTGGTTCTCTCGCTCGTTGGCGAACACAAAATAAAAATAATATGATACCGACTAATTCGAAGAAAGTCACTACATATTTATTTACTGTGCCAATAGATAATAATTGGATCTAATAGTTAATAAAAATCATTTAAAAATACGATGAACCCCCTCCTCTTAATCGTATTGGCATTTACCATCTTCCTTACTTATTCGAGAAATAGAAGAAAATTCGAAACAAATTACTTTTTCGATTTTCTTATACACTATCAGAAATGTAATTCGTTAAAATAATTACCGATTCTCTATCTTATAAAAATTGTTTCGACCTAATATGATTCATCATCATCATCATAACGCTGCTTTCACACATACGGTTTTTTGCCGTGGCCGTGCACGGCAGCGGTGCCGTGTATAGTAGTAATACATTGGTTTATGTGCAAGCTTTCACACAATACGATTTGCTGACGGAGCCGTACACGGCTGCCGTCGCAGCACGGCATGGGGACTGCAATGAAACAAACAAGTGTATAGAAGTATTCACACGTGGCGTGTGTTCACACGGCAAAATTGTTTTCAGGATCGTTTTTCTCTCTGAATTGTGCAGTTAACTGAAGAAATTATATAGTGTGACGGATAATAACACTGCTATATTTAATTTAAAACATATATTTGGCTAAACATTATTATATTACACACTTTTATAAATATTTCTACTCGAATTCTTTTGTATCTGTCTTTCTATTATTCTCTGTGAAAATAGTGATTCAAATTCTTTTGTATTCAATCGCATATGTGTGTCCTCTTTTTGTAAATCATATTGCAATTTTACGCATAATTCATTGAAACTCCTAATGGATATTGGAAAATAATTAAAAATTTTGGAGCTATCCTCCCGTGGCTCATGAAATAATGCTACAAATTCACCCATCAATTGTCTGTTTTTAAGTAGTGGATGAATCCAAAATCTTCTGGTTTTTTTGTGTTTTTCTGCGATTATGCCATATCATCAGTAACAACATGCGTTTTTTTCTTTCGTCCATTTTGGTCACGTATCAATACCAAACTAAACCCATAGTGAAAAACCGTGTGCAGTGTGAACGCAAAGCAAATGAAATTGCGGCACGACACGGCACGGTTGCCGTTAGAAAACCGTATGTGTGAAAGCATCGTTAGGTCGTCAGTCCTAAGATTATATGGACACGCACCTCCACTCTTTCCTACCCTGAGCTAATCTTCGCATTTTCGTAAAACTACAACATCCCACATTTCTTAACTATCTAATGTAGGTCTATCTCTAGTGTTCGTAACACCTGCTTCTGCCTCTAATATGTCTCTGACCAGACCTTCATGCATGAGAAGGTGTCCTACCAATCTACCTCGCTTGTTTTTATTGACCTCCATAGAGTCCTCTGTTCACCTATTCTTTCTAATGCCTCTTCATTTCTAACCTTCTCTATCCACGGTATCGTCATCATTCGCCTGTAACACCATATTTCCAACGCTTCTAACATTTTCTTTTCCAACGCGCCTACCGTCGATGTTTCGCATCCGTATAGCGCCGCGCTCCAAACACACCTTTAACAATCTTTTCTTATTTAACCGTTCGTGAGCATAAAAATTACTTCTTTTTATTGGAGGCGACTCGATTCTGCGTTATCCTCCGCTTTATTACTACACCTTCCGCCCTGTCTTATCTGACTTCCTAGACACCTAAAATCAGCCACTTCTTCTAATCTTTATATTACTTCTTTCCCTACTTTTTCTTCCCTTACATACCAGAATTTTTGTTTTACTTCCTAATATGATTAGAGATGATATAATTTTACATGTTGCAATGGGATCTTTAGTCACAATTTTCGTTCAAGTGACAAAAAGTATTGGAACTCATTTAAATATAAGATAGCTGGCTAAAGCTGTTCATTGAATCAAAATGAAAATTTGACTTAATTGTTTTACGCATAGTTAAGTAGGGTGAGCGTTGTAAGTCATAACTAACATAAGCTGTTTTCCCAATTATTTGTAGTACTACAGGTCGTTCCGTATGCCATTGGTCGACACGTAATCGCTCAATGATGTTAATTGCTGTGTCTCAAAACAATTTTCCTTGATAAAAAATAAGTTAATAGCGGTCCCTGCAAATGTAACATCACAGAAGCAACGAGTATAATCGGACGCCTACAAAGCGAATCTCAAATTACACAAATCGTTTCACAATCACGAGAACTGACATCATTCGGGTGCTTCTTCTACCTCTACCCTCGCCACCACCACTTTTTCGCATCCCTTCGGTGTTTAGCCATAATAAACCGTGCAGGAATTCATCCATTCTCCCACCCCCGCCTAAATCGTCCTCGGCGGCGGCGACGCCGTCGTTGAAATAGCGACGCGTCGTTTTACTCAGATCCCCCGGCTCCGGACGGTGTCGGTATCCGGATCACCGGAGTTTCGACGTGATTCCAGTGCGGCGGCTGTGGCATACTGGGTTCCGCCCCCTGCGCAAACGGTTCACCGCGCGTCCTAACATCCAACATGCACCGCCCACATGCAGCCTCCTCATCTTAGTGATATCTCGCGTTTTCATCTGTTGTTTTGGCGACGTCGCGACGATAAGCGCCCTTTCGACGGTGAAACCGCGCGGCGACGGAAAGTCCGGGAAAATCCGGGAAAGCGCATCCCTCAAGCACGAAAAACCGAAAAGTTTGCTGCCGTTTCTTTTACTGTAATATTTCATAAACTGTTAATGTGGTGAATGTAATTATGATTTTAAAACGGTGGTGATTTCTTGAACAGTCAATAGTATACATATTTGGGGTGAAGATTGTCCGTTTATCGTAAACGAAACGTTGGGGATCATCCCCATAGGCAGCATCACGATTTTCGGGGAAAGTCATAAGGTAGGATACATCATTTATTTCATTCTTTAATAAAACAAAAATTTAAACAGAACTCCATAAAATTTACTCATACGTGTGTTTCTCTTAGAAACTATTTGTTACGGTAATAAATGACTTCGATCCGACTATTTTCTAGAATTAACTCTCAAAAGTTATGAATAGTTTTTTTAATTTCTTCAAAAATATTGCTGGAACTGTACCTACTGCTTATTAAAATATGCCTCATGAATGTTTCACAAGGATTTATTGAGATAATCCTACACATGTATAACCACAAAGAAATGGGGAAATGCCACCACTTTAGCCATAGGCAAATAGCAAATATGGGAACTCTTATAGATAAATTGTGCTAGTTATGTATCTGTTTGTGGGAAATATTTAAAAGTTATATCAGGTGGTATACTAAGAATCCGATTGATTCTCCAAAAAAATTTTTAAATTGGGGGTAGCGATCAATTTTTGCTCAGAACCTACCTACCTAACCTGTTGAAGCAGGATAGTCGGTGTTTAACTTATACCAGCTTCTGCTGTACGCCAACTTAATATTGTACAGCTAGTTGATGATTTTTCCTTTAATAAAATTTACACCTTTTTTTTTTTACTAGTTTTATTATTAAAGGATCGAGACTATTCACAATTAAAAATATGTACAACTATTGTAACTTAAATAACTAAATGCGTATTATTGAGAACCGTGCTTATTGATGTATATTGATGAACTCTGTTAGAAAATTTTGGACATGTATTTAAATAAACGAGAAAGAGAAGAACAATTTAAGATGGATAGAGATAGAATTAGAAACTAGTATGAAAAACTTTACAGCAAATGACTACACTTCAGGTAAATGTGATAGATACAATTGAAAAGGTTATGAGAGGAAAATACGGCCCTAATATGATTTTAACGATGAGTCAGGTAAACATTGAATAGGTTACTATTGTATTATGAATTCCAAGAGAAGATTCAAATGTAATATGCACGATAATGTAAATTAGGATGCAAAGAATGTGCAGTTAAAACCAAAATCAATCGAATAAGATATTATTAAATGTGTATATAACTAAAAACTATAAGTATAACAAAAAACAAACGTTTCGGCGAATAGCGACGGAACATAACCTATTCAGAGAATAAAAGGATCGTTGTACCTAAACACTCCATTTACAATCATACACATTTCGGTCACAACCACTATAGTCACACCCAATTAATAGATCATAAAATATTTATAACCCTTAAGGCAAAGATCAATTTAAACAAAAGTATTTTATGCAGGTTTAACATCCTCCCCCCTTCTGCCCTTGATCTCCTCACCCATCTCTTCCCGTAGGTACTTACAGTTTAGAACAGTGATTTGAATTTTGAAAAATTATCATTCAAATTTTTTTTTTTAATTTATGAAGCCATAAAAAATTGTCTCCGCCACATTCTAATATCTAATTCTATTATATAGAATGACCGGCAATCAATGAAAAAATTTTTGAAGCGATTTTGGTCTGGAGCTTCAATTTTGGACAATTCTGTAATTAGCTTTTACATCATAATAGGCACAGTCCGGATTTTGAGCTGTTTTGGTTATTTTATTGCTGCATTCGTTTAATTCCATAAAATTTTAAGAAAATACAGACTATACATATATTATGTCGCATTTATTTTCGATAATTCAATTTTCTGTGTTCGACACAATATACAGATACCATTTAACTTGTCTTAACTTGAAGAAAAATGCTAATGCTTCCTAAAGCAAGAGATTACTGACAAATTGGCAATGCCTTCGCGGCCAGTACGTGGACTTTTTCAGAGGTCCAGCATCGGAGATGGAAGGACTTCTGAAGAAACTCACCACCCGTAAAAGTAGCAAAAAGTTAGGACGAAGCAACCCGAAACAGGACAGCATCAGTCCAGGGATTACTGAATGTCTCGACCTCAAAATCGAGTTCATTTACCTAATGCTTCTTCGATGCTTAAAGAAGAAATTGGAGATATTTCAACTTCATATCATATATATGTTTCAATTTTTATCAATTAAGAAAATTGAGTTTAGTTGGGTTGAATTATCTACCCAATTTTAGTATTCCACCATCATGAAACTAATTGGCGCTAATATAATACTACCTACTTAAATAATAGAAAAAGGAATATCAAATCAAAGGGCTAAAACTTAATCCAATAGAGCTAGTAGAGCATGCAAATGGGCTACTATTCTGTACAAATTCGATAACGTTTGAGATGCAATTCGGTCAAGTGATGATAGTGAGAATGTCACGAAAATAAGGGGGAGGCTGTAGGGGGATAAGCGTCTGTCACCAGAGCCATATAATACGATAATTATACACCAACAGTGAAGCCGCTGATGGTTTCTATGCGCATCCAGTATCGACGGCAACTGTAAATTAAGTCATCATTTTCTACAAAATTCAAAACGATATTAACATTTGGCTGAAAACTTTCGACAATTTAGCCACTATACCTAGTCTCATATTTTCTCGAAGATTGTCCTCTTATAACTTTGAAATAAAACACAATTTTAACAAATTATGACGAAATTATTATCTAATATACATATGCTTGCTACTAAACTTGGGGTATGTATATGTTTATCATCATCATAAGGTCGTCAGTCCTAAGACTGGTTGGACACGCACCTCTACTGTTTCCTATCCTGAGTTAATCTTCGCATTTCTCTAAAACTATAACATTCTATATTCCTAGAAAAGAAATTTTCAGTCTCTCAGAGTCTTTCAGTATCTCTAAGAGCGTCCCTCACAGTCTTTCACAGTCTCTCAGTTATTGCCTAGGTGTTTTTATAGATTTCTCACAGTCTCTGTATGAGAGACTCGAACGATCAAATTGTTAATTCAGAGATTCGAGTCTTTCGTTCAGAGACTGGATACGAAATGAGGATCTCTGGGAGAACGACTCGAATCTCTCGTTCGTTCAGAGACGCTAAACAGTTTTTTTGACAGTCTCTCTCAGCGACACCAGAAAGACTCGATGAGAGACGGATACTTGAGTGTCGCTTTCAGAGACTCTGAGAGACTGAACATTTTTATCTCGGGATCCTTAACTATTTGCGAACAGTAATCTAATCCACATCCAGCACGGGAGATGGAAGGTCCTCTGAAGAAGCTAGTCATGCATGCTAGCGAAACGTTAGGAAGCAATTCCAACCGACTACAGCCTTTAGACCCTAATCAGGTTCACCTACTGGCCGTGAAAACCTTTACCAATTTGTCACCCCTCAGAAACTTTTCTACACCACGTTGTATTTTTCAAAAGATGATACCACGATGATACCACTCTTTGATGGTTGCATGATGTAAAAGAATATCGGCTCTCCATTAGTCACTATAGTGGTTACAACCAATCGAAAAAAGTCCCTTTTTCAAAATTACTGCTATTATGATGCCAATCGCTAAAAAAATCCAACGGCGTACGTAAAGAAGCGTTAGATTTTCACGGTTCTCACGAAACGAAAACGAAAACGGGTATAGGCAACTTCTGTCTTTATCAAATAAGTAGATCTTACTGCAGAAGTACAACAATATTACCGCTAACAACAAACAATACGCCCACAGATTCCATCAGCACTTGAACGGGTTGTAAATGCGATTAGGTGATAAGAACGCGGGCACGCAGGAAACGCTTTTGTCTTACGTTCCAAGGCCTGCTGGTGTGTTATATTAATTACTTAAACAGCGGTGGTGGTGCTAGTGATGGTTTTGGTTGGTGCTAACAGTGGTGAGGTATGAAATAAAAATAATGATTGAGGAGGTGCGATATTTCTTCTTCGTTTTATATGTATGCAGTGACAGATCACAGCTAAAATTAGTAGGGGTGCTGCTTAGGGTTGCCACCTTTTCAGGCTTTACATAAAGTATATCTCGACTAAAAGGTTAAAAAAAAGTACTCAGCATAAAAATAAAGTATTTTATTTTTTGTTTCTAAAAACATATTTTTTGTTACACCTAGCAGCCAGTAACAAATTGCTGTCGCTCTTAAATACATTAATAGCCTCTAAACATGGCAAACAAAGATTTAAGTAAACTAAAAGTTCATTTTTAATTAGTTTTAATGAAACTTTATTCCTGTCGTCCCGCCACTTTGCGTTCATAACAGAGAATACTCTTTCTGTAAATGCTGAAGTGGCCGGAACGGACAGCAAAACTGACACTACTTTGAACAGATTTGGGAAATCATGTTGTTCCGTAAATATAGCTTGCCATTTTTCTGTGCAATATTATTGATGTAAAAAAACTCTGAATTTCGAATAATCGCTTACAAAATTTCGATGTTTAGTTAAGGCCTTAAATAAAGTATTTTTGGGTACTTTATGTGTCTTGTAAAGTATAACGTATGCACAGTCGAAATAGAATACAATACTTTATAATAAAGTACGGGTGGCAACCCTAGTGCTGCTACATCAAACTTTTAGCATTAAAAGAACTTTATAACATTCATGAATATATATACATATGTATACTCTACACAAACGTGGATCATCCTCAGTACACTTAGTCAACAGTGCCCGAATGACAGAGTTCTTTTTCAGAGTTGTCAGATGAATTTTTTATTTCCTAGTGCTTTTTGTGGAAATTTCCGGAAAAAAATTCTTTAAGCAAAAAGAATTCATTTGGTACATAAAAAATACCTTTTTTAGTTATTTATATTTATTTAAAGAAATTTCTATGCTTAAAACTGCGTTACACATAAAAAATTCTTAGGATTTTACATAAAACTAAATAAAAATCCTGTTCTCCCTAAGTTAGCTCTAAATTTCTTAGGTATAGGGAAATTTCCTCAGGCCTGGCAACACTGCTTTTTCCCTCCCTTTAGTAAATTTGAGTGCAGCTTCCTTCACAACTTAAATACTGCGCCGTGGATTTCACAGTTCCATAATAAGATCTTTGTATCTATATTATAAATTGGGGGATGACTACTGTCATCAAGCTAAGTTATTATACATATAATGAATCATCATCGTAAAGTCGTCAGTCCT